AAAAAAAAAAAAAAAAAAATGTGTTGAGCCTAGGTGGCAGATTCTCACGCTTCGGATGCTGACATGACAAAAATCTATGCTTCGTGATGTTGTTTTTATATTATTTTGTTTTATAGTTAAGTTGGTATTAAACATAAATAATTTTGTACATATATTCATTAGATGAACATTCATGGTGTACATGAATATTAGTACTAGTGCTTCACTAAAGTCAACTCTTTGAAGCCGAAGAAGCAATTAAACGACCATTTCTTTTTTTTTTCGACCAATCTTTTTTTTTTTTTTCCTGGCCGTAAAATACTTATGTAATTGCCACTTGCATCTCAAGTCCTGTTAAATAAGCATGGCAAGACAATTAGCAAACCCTCTTTTGTTAATCAATCATTGCAAAACTAAACTAAAATAGGAGATGAAGCTGTTGTGCTGCTTATTCATCATGTTGTTATCATTATTATCATTCGAGTCGAAAGCAACTGAAACAGGGAAAGCATGGCCAAAATGCGACGAACCGGTAACTTTACGCATTGGAGTAGTTGTCGATAACAATTCAAGGGTCGGGAAAGAGCAGAAGATCGGCATAGACATGGCTGCGCATGACTTTCGACAACATTGTACAAACCTAACTTTGGACATAAAAGAGTCGCATTGGAATTCAGACGGTGGTGCAGCTTTTGCTGGTAAGATTAATGCATCTGCTTTAATAAAAAAAAAATATAATATCAAATATTATATCAAAGAAGATGATAGAGTTTCCTCAATATTTTTTAGCTATACCTACACTAAACTAATATTCTGTAGATGAGAAATAGTATGCTGGAAATGTTTATTTGTTCTCTTCTTGCAAGCAATGCACGGGCCATGTACGTTTATTGTAGATGTATTGACTAAAATAATACAAAGTTGATTGGTTTCCAGCAATTGATCTTGTCACCCACAACAAAGTCGACGCCATTGTTGGGACAGTAACAATGCAAGAAGCCACTCTATTTTCAGAAATCAAGGCACTAACCCTGAGCACTATGCAGCCCATTGTTTCCCTCTATCCATCAGCCGTAGCCACGCCACAAAAAATAGCCTCTAGATTTGCGTCTAATTTCATCCAGATGAGCAGCCTAATCACGTACCAAATACAAGGTATATTGGCGGTCATCAGCCGTTACAAGTGGCGAAAGGTGATATTGTTAAGTGAGCAAGGCAACCATTTTTCAAGTGATCCCAGCTTTCTCACTCATTTTTTAGACTCTGTACGGACCATCGTCGAGGACCATGTGGCTTTCCCTCAAGTTTCTTCTTTGTTAGATCCCAAAGCCTTCATTAGGGAGGCGCTGAATCAACTTAAAAGCAAGAATGTGAAGGTTTTTGTGGTCTTGGAGTCTTCTTTTGATTTCGCCACCATTTTATTTGATAGCGCAAAGGGTTTAGGGATGATGGGAAGAGGTTATGTATGGATCGTATCAGACGAAATTGCAAATCTTCTCGACTCTTTTGATTCTTCGGCTATACGCAACATGCAGGGCGTCATCGGGTTAAAAACTGACTACAGGTATAGTAACGAGGACCAACTTAGAGAGTTTAAAATTGCATATAGGAGAAAGTATGATGCAGAATACCCAATGGAAGAGAATACGAACCCAAGCATCTATTCTTTCCGAGCGTATGACGCGATTTGGGCCCTTGTTGAGGCTTCACACAAGTTAAAAGGAAGAAATAGTTTAGCAAATCAGGTGTTGTCGAGTGATTTCGAAGGTCTCAGTGGTAGAATAAGCTTTGAAAATGGCGTGCTTTCTGAAAAGCCTGTTTTCCAGGTTGTGAACGTGATTGGTAAGAGCTATAGTGATGTGGCGGTGTGGTCATCCGAGTACGGTTTTTTAGAGGATGTTGTTGAAGTTGATGGGAGAAAAATGAAGTTTAGTGGGAGTGGGCTAACAGGGGATTTGCATCCTGTTTATTGGCCCGGGGGAGAAGTAAAGGTTCCGACTGGATGGAGCATGGGCAGCATAGAGAAACCTCTGAGAGTGGGAGTTCCGGCCAAGGGCGCGTTTGAGCAGTTTGTAAAGGTTACTACCGATAACGTGACCAACCAGACGAGGATTGGCGGATTTTCAATCCATGTCTTTGAAGCTGTTGTTAGGCAGCTGCCATATGATTTTCACTATCAGTTTCTCCCGTTTCATGGTTCGTATGATGAAATGGTGGCTGCTGTTCGCGACAAGGTATCAATAATAAACAACTTACCTTTGAGCTAAAGTCCATTATGTTTGTAATTTTTTTTTTTTTTTAAATAATTGGTTACATAGTCTGATGAACAAATTAGCTTTCACATTAATCTAGTTTGTTCGTGGTGAAGAATTACTAACAAATCAGATGACAGCGCTTAGACGCAGCCGTAGGTGATACAGAGATAATGGCAGACCGGTATGCGTATGCTGGATTTTCGCATCCGTATATTGAATCCGGGCTAGAGATGGTCGTAACAGTAAAACCGGGCCTCCAAGAGTCTAGCATCATAGCTTTAAAACCCTTCACCGTCCACATGTGGATCCTACTTGCATTATTTTTCTTGTCAACAGGGATTATCATCTCCTTTACTGAATATGCTACTAACAATGACCAGTTTCAAAACAAATCATCTCTTGAAATCATTACTACCGTCCTATGGCTTTCGGTCACTATAATCTCCTTCTCACAACGTAAGTCGCCCGCTCCATTAACTCCACTTTACTAGAAGTCAGTTTCCAATAATGGTTGGAAATTATCGAGTCATACGACGTTTTATGATTAGCATGACATTAATTTCAACCTATTGTTCGCAAAAACTTATTACATAGTGTTTCGTGAAGCGTCCAAACTTTAAATTTTGACATTTGTAATGAACATGGCACTAGGAAACCACTCTTTTATCTGATTATATATAGTTGATAATCCCTTTAATTTATATAACAGGTTACAAAAAAACCGCCATCGTAGGATGGAGGTACTAATAATTTATCTGTCATTAGAGGAATAATAATCCCAATAGATGTTAGTTGTTTATACAGTAATTCTAATCCCTCAATTGAGGACTAACAAGATGTCATTTGCAGAAGAGGACATCAAAAATATCGGATCTCGACTCGTAATGGCAGCCTGGAAATGCGTAATTTTTGTTGTAGCAGCAAGCTTTACTGCCGTTTTAAGTACAATGATGACTGTTCCAAGGCTTCAACCGTCAATTCGGGAGATAGATTATCTTCTGGAAACGAACTCGGGGGTTGGAGTCAATGCAAACTCATTCATCGACCGCTATTTGATCAATGTCCTGAATTTTAAGCCAGAAAATGTCAAACCAATCAATTCCATTAGCGACTACCCCATAGCTTTCAAAAGTGGTCAGATCAAGGCAGCATTTTTTGTCGCCCCACACGCCAAAGTATTTCTAGCAAAGTATTGCAAGGGCTATATCAGATCAGGCCCTAGTCACACACTAGGTGGCTTTGGCTTTGTAAGATTCCTTCCATTCTCATAGTTTTACTTTGCACACATGAGAATAAGTAACATAAGGAAGGCAAAATGATGATATGACAAGAGACTAATATACCATATACATTCAATATCATATGAGTTTGTGTTTGTCACCATCAGGTCTTCCCAAAGGGGTCCCCTCTGGAAGCCGATATTTCGGAAGCAATTCTGAAAGTGACACAGAGTGGAAAAGTGCATAGATTAGAGCAAGAGATGCTTCAACTTTGCAATTGTACTTCATCAACGAGTGGACAAGAAGAGGACGACCTCACATTAGGCGTCGGCCCATTTTCTGATATGTTTTGGGTTTTATTTGGCACCATGCTGCTTGCTCTCTCCGTCGCCGTATACCATTTGATGATTACAAAATGGGACAAGTTAAAAGAAACATTTACAACTAACAGAGCTTACATGTGGACATCAATGGTACTCACAGAATGCCACAATAGATTTGGTTTTCAGTTCTTGGCACGAAGTGATGATGTTCGGACCAGTGCAGCTGAGTTGAACGTGGCGGAAGTAGTCGACCATGGTAATCAGCAGTAAGTTTCAATGATGGAGTGATTCTCCTTAAACTTGATCTAAAACAGGGTTGACACAAAACAATATTTCTCTAAGTGTGAAAATTATATGTCATGTATATTCCAGATAATGCATGTCTATAAGTTATGCCGATTGATTGATTGATATCCAATTTTTGTAGAATGATCGTTTGATCAGGATACAAAAATGACAGTTCCATTGGAAGTTTAATGTTTGTGGAATTGTGATTTCTTTTAATTTTATCTTGGAAAATTTGTTCTAAATTTTTTATTTTAACTATATTTGGAATTTTTTTTTTCTTTTTTTTTTTTGAAAAAATCCAAATTATCCCGCCGTTTACACATTCAATGTTTGTTTGAAATTCAAACTAGTACAAATCTCGTGCGATGCAAGATAAAAGATATTTATTAATATTTGTAAATTAAAATTAAAAATAATCATTAAATAATATTTATAAAATAAAAATATAGAATCAATATGTAATATATATTACTTATATTAATTTATTTAAAATATTATATGAAATTTAAATTAAGTAAAGTTACATAAAAATATGTTTTTTTAAAATTATTACACATCCCGTATGGTGAACATAACTGATAATAAATAATATATTATTTATTTCAAAATAAGTGTCATTTTAAAGTTTTTATTCAAAAATTCAATTTGAATAGAATGTGGTTCCAAAAAATAATTATTTTAGTAAAATTTTATCATATATTTAAAAATCTATGTGAATAATAGTATAAGGTTAAAGTTTATATTTTTTCATTAATTAAAATAAATAGGTTAAAATTTATATTGTTTCATTAATTAAAATAAATTTAATTTTGTGTGAACTATTCAAATAAAAAAAAATTAAGTAGCTGAGTAATTTGTTAAACTATAAATATTTGACTATTCTACTTACGTCTAAGTAATATTGACCGCAAGTTTTAAACATTTATTATTTGCATTTTAAATTTGAATCTCAAATTTGAACTCAAAATAAATCTATCTATAGGGAAATGCTACCATCCCGTTACGGTACCATCCCGTCGGGTGTTTTAACTGTTGGATCATCGATCTTATCTAACTACACGTAGATCTAACGGTTAAAACAACCGACGGGATGGTACCGTAACGGGACCGTAGCATCTCCCCTATCTATATATCTATGTTTTACTAATTTCAAAATTTTGTAGATTTGTTGTCGGTTACCTTGTCGTTCAGATCAACTAATTCTCTATAATTAAATTATAAAATTAAAATTTTATTAACAAATATTTGTTTAAAGACTCTCATTTTCAAGAACCACAAAAAATATGGGCCAAATATATATAATTTTTTTTATGCTGAACCCAACATGGAAATCGTACAACTATGAATAAAGTCAACTCACAATGAACGGCTGCGATTTTTTTTTTTTTTAATTTCTTTGTATAACAATATATCAAATTTATTTTGATTTATATATATAATAACAACCTCGTTTCTATGGCCTAATTTTTTTCGTTTCATCTTTTTGGATTTTGATAGTTCACAGTTGATTTTGTTCCTCAATCCTCATAGTTTTCAAAAATCATTTTTCGGAACGATGACTTTCAGAATTTAAAGTACATGTTTACAAACATGTAAGCATACATTCATTTCCAGTATTTGTGGTTTCAAGGTGGTTCTATTCTTAAAGCATACATTCATCTCAGTATTTGTGGTTTCAAGGTGGTTCTATTCTTTAAATTCTTTTGATTTCTTTGTCCAATTGTTTTACATTTGTTAATTTCTTGTTGTTGCATAAAAAAGTAAATTCTTTTTATTCAAAATTGTGTTGTTGTCATGAAGTCAAGGCAAGTTGATGATTAAACTATAATCTTACCTTCATCAATATTTACTCTTGATTGTAGTTCATGTTTTTCCATGCTGTAAATTCTTCATTTCGCCGATGATTTATAGGTATCCAACAACGTTATTTTCATGTTGTTGCATAAAAATATATTTTTTTTTTTAAATCAGAAGTATGATGTTGTGATGAAATCGGTAAAATTATTGAAATAAAAAATAGAAAAAAATAGAAAAACTTACTTCGAACCTTATCTTTCATCAAATAAACAGTTGATACATATATATATATTAGGACTGAAAATACAATTAGTATAATATATCAAAATATTTTAGCTGAATATAGGCGCGATCTTCCGCCATAACTTTAGAAAATTACATAGAGGGATTCTTAGAAGATTTAGTGGTCTAATTTAATGGGGTTGTATACCTTTTTAAAACATATACAACTAAGCCGAATTCTATGTTTAAATATATATTTTTTTGATAATAATACTCTTGAATTTTTTATTTATTTATTTATTTATTTTATTTTTTTTTTGCCATAATGGATATTAGTATCATAGGAAAACATACATATAAATTTGTTTAGACAAAATTTATTTTTAACAAATGTTTCACTACAAAATACAATTTTATCATTAAAAAAATAAAATAGTATGTTAGCATTTACATTACTCCTATTTAATTTTCATTTTATGATGAGTTATGAAATATATATGAATGTCGAATAGTCATAATAATTATAAAAAATGAATGTAAGTTTAAATACTTGTTATTATCATACTTGGAAACAACTAAATCATAATAACATGAACTGTCTTATTTAAACAGCATGGTTATAATTAAATTAAGTTGGATTGAAATGATATAAATAAATTAAGCAAGGTTTATAATGTGTTCCAATTATCTAATTAATATTATTTAGATGTTAATTTGATTAATTTGGCAATAATATTGCACTGTTAATTTTATTGTCTATTTTGTGGCAGGTATCATGTAAATTTTATTAATTTTGCAACTGTGTATTTATTGCGGTGAATGGATTTCAGAACTGCCCCATTATTATTATTATTATTATTATTATTATTATTATTATTATTATTATTATTATTATTATTATTTTATGATTGCATTTTAATGGTTTGGATTTTGTGTGCAATGTCAATTCAAATTTTTGTATACTAAATATTTTATTTATTAACATTATTGTAAGATCCGTAAATACTTTTATGATTTTCTCAATAATTTTAAGAGTTTTAACAGTAAGTATATAAGATAAATATTTTAACAATGTGTACTTAATTTTATAAGTTTATTAGTACTATAAGTAAAAATATGAAGTCGATATTACTTATTCTCATAACGACCATAAACTATAGATTTTCATTCTTTTTTTTTTTAAAAAAAAAAAGCTATGAGAAACAAAAAATGTGTAACACTATGAGAGATACATTGTTGAATAATTGTTTTGCAACTTAAACTTCTAATCTACTCAATTTATTTATTTCAGTAAGATTAGAATAATTTTATAAAACTTTTTAATACTAAAAGTCGTTCCAATTGTTTTTCTATCGAATGAGATACTACTTGAGCAACATGATTTAATTTTGATCATACGATCGTCTACAAATTAATTAATATATCTAGAGAATCATGATATGCCTATATACAGTGAAGTTAATGAATTTTTACCAATAAATCATATCATACAACACCATTAATCATCTATTATTAACAACTATAAGTAAAAACAATTAAAATAGATAATGTTTGTCCTCATAATGTCGATAAAGTATAGAAACATTTTTTGTTTTTCAAAATAACCTATAAAAAATAATAATTGTGTAGTAGTATGAGAACAATTTAATTCTTGTTTTGCAGCCTAAACTTCTAATATACTCAACTTCTTTCTTAAAATATTATTAGAATAATTTTATGAAATTGTATAATATTAAAACCCATACTATTTATTTTCATGTCGAATGGGATACCACTTGAGCAACATAATTTAACTTAGATCATATGATTATCTATAAATTAATTAAAAACATCTGGAGAATCATGATATGCCTATATACCTTGAAAATTAATTAAATTTTAGCAATAAATTGTATCGATATATTATATATAATATTGTGTGCAGTTAACTATTTTGAAAATTATCGATAATGATACAAAATATAACACATTCAATGTAATTATGATTTAATTTATGATAATTAATATTTTTATTTTTATTTTTTGAAAAAAATAAGATACATCTAGGTTGAAAAAAATCCGTTATTATTTTATTAGTATTAGAATAACTAAACAAGAGATAAGAATGATGTTCTACGTAAAAAAAAAAAAAAAAAAAAAAAAAAAAAGGTAAGACTGCACAATGAGAAAGCTTATAGTTGATATTCTATCCAAAAGTAAAAGAAAAAAAAAAAGAAAAAATGAGTAATAAAATTAATAAATGTTTTATATCAATTGAAGCTACCAAATGGTATATGTAAAACATACTTACGATGCACATTTTAAAAAAAAACTATATATATATACATATATAATTATATATATTTGTATTAGAAATCAGTATGTTAGTCTTTTTTTTTTCAAGGCAAATAAGCAAATTTCATAAAACTCAAAACAAAGTTCCGGTAACCAACTAGCTACAACCTTACAAGCCCAACATAATCAGACCCTCCCAGCACGACCTAGGAAGACTGTTGTAGCACAAATTATTCTTTTTACCGAGTACCGAATCAAAAGATTCGTTCCCCAGGTCGATCACACGAGGAAGGCTGTTCGGAATTCAGCTTTGGTATTGACAACACATAAAAGCCAAATAAATCCTAAACATTCTAATAAAATAGGAGTTGGATGAATTATCAGCTAAGAAATAAAATAAAAACAATAATCTTCTTAATAATGTAAAAGAAGCGAAGATGGAGAAGCTAGGGAATCGGGGATAATTAATTCAAGTTCTATTTGTAAAACCGGGACATTGATCATTCTATTTCAGATTGACACTCTCGCTTAAACATCTAGCGGTTCGTTCCCAATAACTCTTCGTACAAGGGATTGAACATAGACGAACAAACTCGAGCATACGAGACAAGCCAAATTATCCCATCCCAATAACTTTTCGTAACAAGGGACGGGTTATCGACAAACACGTATTTCAACCCAAAACCTAT